TTCCGGCTAATACGGTGCTTTGCGCGAAATAATGTTCATGCCACGCGTCCTTGAACACGGAAAACAATTCCAAGTGTCGTATGAAACTTGGAACGGAATGCGTTTCTGATGTTTTCGTTCTGGAACTGGAACTCGAGGTTCGCCTTGCGTCACGTCGTGCCATCGCCACGGACGGAGAACTGTCTTAAACTGTTGGGAAATTTCTTTAATCGACGTTTCACTCGCCCCAGTTTCTGGTAAAAATTCACGAACCAATTAATCGTTGATTGCTTCTCGGGCAGTGTACAGGAAGACGATTTCCGTTTCAATGGTCTAGAATGATTCGAGAAATTTGGACGGTCCTGTGGCTCCATTGTTGCCTTACGTGATAATTGAGAAAATTTTCAGAGCAAAGTGATGAGCATGAAATTTATTTCTCTGTGATAGCTTCCCGAGCGAGAAAATGTTCGAAATGTATTCATACGTTAATTAGAATAAGGTTTATTCGCGAAATGAAATAATCCTATTAATAAGTTATATCACAGAAAAATAGCATTTAAATATAAACATGCTTTAAAAATATTTCGTAACTCCTATTGTTATAAATAACGAACGATATCAAACCACTGATTCAAAACTCCTTTCGTTCATTATTTCTATACAAATTCCATGACTGCAAAAAATACATACAAATACAGGTTACTCGTTGACAATACACTGTTACTACAAATACACCAACGTACAAACACAGTAACTCTAAAGGATGTGAATCTCAAACCTGCCCACTTTGACCATCTAGCATCTCTTCAAGGCTTTCGATCGACGTTAAATAGCCACACGATTTTCCAACTCATTCCGATAAGCTTATTTGCCCAGGGTTAAACAATTCCCGCATTAAGAATTCGCATGTCAAGCAGCGTTCGAGGGCTCGTATTTTCCGTATCATTATTAGCGCTTTCACTCGTCGCTTATTGTTCCAGATAAAGAGTGAAACGGCAGTGTTTGTTCGGTCGACACGCGATTCCAAAGTTAGCAACAGTCGATGGAACTGAAAGAATGGTGTATCAGCGCTGCTGAAAAATGCCACTTTCGGCCTGGAAGAAAATGAACGCGACAGTTATTCCTGCACGTTTGAAAGTTCCTCCGGTTGAACGTGGCAAAACGCAGCGATGCATGTATCCCGAATGGGAAGCAGAGTCGCGTACCTAATTCGCAACACGCAAACTAAACGTATCAGCCGGCGTCATTGAAGATGTTCATAACGAGGCCGAAATGTTGAGAGGGAGCTTCGCGGTTTTCCCTCACCACTCCGCCGTCGAAGTGACGGACAAAGAAGAGAATTCCTGGAAATGGGTACATGGGTGGCGCAGCAGTGCGCGCGCGCGCAAGAGAGAGAGAGAGAGAGAGAATAACCGTATTTGATGGCTGAAGGGATATTAAGCGGAGCCCGAAACAAAGTTTATTTTGCACCAGTCACCCCAGCGAAGTCGCTTCACACCGCCGCCAACTCCTAGCACTACTTTTACAGTGGCGCCACCTGTGTTGCTCTCCACAGCTGTGGAGGAGGCAAACAGAAAGAGACGATGGAGTGAGGTAGGAATAAAGTAACAAAAAGGAATGGAAACGGAACGGAAGAAGACAGATGGTTGAAGAGACAGTGGAAAGAAGACAGAGGAATAGAACCACAGCCGGGTAAAGAGGATGTACAGTGGAAATGGTGGATACGGTGTAAGAGAGAGGCAGGATACAGAGGCAGTGGTGGTAATTGTTACGGTGACGACGTTTCAGGTAACTGAAAGGTCGTTTCCTTTGTCGCGTTTGTGTGCGAGATGGGAGCCATTCTGGCTCATAGAGACAGGCACACGTACATTCAATGGGTAATAGTGGTGTACGTACAACTGCTGAGGGTACACAATCATTTGAGGCAGCGCGGAGTGTACACAATATCCCGAAGGTGGTGTACCTGTACACGGTATTCGTCTTGCAAACTTTGGACTTGCAGACGTCTGGCTTCCTTCCGCGACTTTGGCAGCTTCGACATGTCTAGATAGTGCCAGGATCTTGACTCGAGTTAATTGTGGCCTTAGCCTGCGGACTGCATCTCCGTGGGATCAATTTTATACCGAGTGAGTCAGTTAGGTGAATCGTCGTCGTATTATAACATGTAAATTCCTCCTTGCTGAGTATCTAACTAACGTAAAACGAATTTTCCTCTGTCAGACGCACGGGCATGAAGGTATAACGCGAATCGTATTTGTACAAGGAGTTGTTACTTCTAACAATGGTTGTCGATTTAAATGAAGTTTGTCGATGAAAACCGTATCGTCGAGATTACGAACAATTTCAATTTTAATCCAGATCTCGTTCAATCGAATCCACCTCTCTTATGCACACAATCGCACTGAAACAATTCTTCGAGCTAAAAAAAAGAATAACCAATTTACATGACAGACAGAAATAAATCTCTTTGGTATATTAAGTCGATGATTGAATGTCAAATGCGCGATATTTGATGAATCTTTTTTTTTCTTGCTTTTTCTTTTCGTTTAGTATAAATGATATTTCCAACGAAATATTACACTTAACGTGTTGTTTAAATATGTAACATGGTTACAAGCTATTCGTTACAACATCGTAGCATTACTTCTTCGTAAGTTGAACGTACATCGGAATATCTTTTGATTAATATTCTACATTTATCCATTTTTACGTAAACCCACGTATGCCTTCGCGTTCAACGTTGCTTCTCACGAAAGCTACGTGTAGTACACTCGCAAAAATTCATTCCTCATATTTTTTTTCCCCACCATGTCTCTTTTCGCGGGAAAATATGTACCAGTAAGTTACGCTCGAATCTACCGGAAATTCTGTACAGAGTCGTGCACGCTTGCAACCCCTGCGTTTGGGACATGGAGCTAGGCCAAGGGTACAATTGCAGAAACGAGAACAGAATTCACGAAATGTTATATACACGATGCAAGCACTATGTTGTTGGTTAACACAACAGGAGAGCATTGCATCGGATATACTACGATCCGCAAAGGTAGAAAGCAAATCTGATGGACGTACTCATGCCGAGTTGCAAATCTCTAAACGACTCGATACAGTGAATTATCCAAAAATTATCCAGCTTTACACAAAATCATGTATGTGGTTCAAGCACTAGGTTGTCAGTATAAAGAAGGATCACGTCACTCCCAAATTCTGCAATTTTTCTCCCAGGTCAATAACCTGATGGACTTATGCTTCTCATGAACGTCCTGAAACAATTTCGTAAAATCATCAAGTTATTTAAGAAACTCGAGTTGATACACGTCGAAGAGGAACGAAGGAAAATTCTTGAAGAATTTTGCCCCACATTCCTGCGATAAATTTCATCGGTGCCCTTTGTCGACCGCCATTCTTCCGATTTTTATATACAGCTCAGAATTTACATGCTTAACGTCGATTCATCTTGCTTGACACCACATACACGCCCTAACCGTCGTCGATACATTCAGCTCGCGTTGAATATAAAACTCTCGCTACCACTTGTACCGGTTTTCCCTTTTACAACGACGTGACGTCCCGCGTAAATGCTCGTGAGTTTGCCAAGGATCCGGTCCAGTCGCTGTACGTCGAAGGGTAAAGAGGAGCGTTGCTACATCCAACGGAATAGCACGAGCGATTTTCCTATCCGCAAGCAGGGGAAACACGCGGCACGTGGACGCTTTTATAGACACACGGAATCCTTCAGCGGCTTTGGACTTCCTTTAATAAAAAGGGGGCAGGCTAGGTAGGGGGCACTGTGCCTCTATTCCAACCTCGAATTTCCTCTTTCCTTCTGGCATCGAACTATCGATTCGTCGCCCCCTAGCCAGGTATACTCGAGGGTAAACTTTCGTGTTCCGCGAAAACATTTTGCACGATAGAGAAGCTTGATTGTTGACACAACTTATACGTTGGCAAGCAGAAAAATATTCGAGCAAACGCGCCGGCAGAAATATGAGAAAAAGCCCTCCTTCTTCGGCCGATTATTTTCCAAGGCCAGTCCCTCGATCCACTTTCGTGCAACGATTCCGTCTGCCTGGCATAACTATTAGCAAATTCTTAAGGTAACTTACGATCACGCATGTCTTATTTTTCTTTTCTCTGGTTCCTCGTCGTTTGTTACTAAATTCTATAGGCTAGTATTATACAGGGTTTCTGCGCGTAACTTTATCGTTTGGTATAGTCGCTCTTCTGTTCAGACCATAGTGATACTTATCGCAAAAGTTGCACAAATTATAGTACGATCCTTACGATATTTGTAAAAATCGCTTCGTTTTCTTAGCAGTAAGTGATACATGGATTGATTAAAAATTGTTCGACAAATGTTAGATTTACGTTGTATGGTTAGAATGTAAGGATATATCTAAATATACAATAACTCTAAAAAGCAAAATGGAAGATTATAGCAATAAACCGAAATTAAATTGCAAAATTACATAAACGTTTAAATATACCTTTCCCATTGAAAGGGGAAATATTAAATATAAATAATCTTCATTGGAAAATTTTTAAAACATCTCACGAATGAAGCAGTATTTCTCACATAACCGTCACTTAGTATTCTCCTCTAAACACGCGGATTAAATCCTAAATTGTACAAACCAATGATTCTCGTTTCACTTGTAAAATGTCAACAGACCAACAGCTACTCGTCCCTTCAGTTTGAAACTGAGAGTAAATGAAGCTTCGCTAACCCAACACATCTTACCACCTATCAACGAAAAAGCGAAAGAAAATTGCAATCGTTAGTTGGTACACGAGGTGCATCATAATTGCCAAGACTCATAGTACACTTTTCAATCATTCCACATATCAAATTCTATAACATCACGTAAACCATTCATAGAAGTAAATCAAACGAGCAAATGGCTCCTGCCGTTATATTCATCGAACTCGATTATTACACGTATCCCGAACAAACTCTTCCACTCTCTCACACATACGGTAGTAGCAACGAACGTGTATGCACGCTCACGTCCTTCTTGCTAATACCTTGTCCCGCAGGTACTCTCGCACGGAAACATCGTTACGACGTGAAACGGAGACAGCGTCTTCTCTGCTACATGGGGACACACGAGAAAACGAGGGAAAAGAGAAGTTAGGAGTCTGGCGAGCGCCACTTGACTAGCCCCTTGGCATCAAAATCGTAGGATCGATCCCCGGGTCCTTCCACCTGGCCCGCGAACAATGGTTGAATAGACACGGTAGAACGACATGGAGCCTCTGACACGCATCTTTAGCCGGAATAATGGCAGGACACACGATCGCGTTCCCTTCGTTGAAGAACGAGCTAGGGACGCGTGCTATAGCGACGGAACATCGTTACTCCTTGTACTTTGCATTTCTCTGATTTCGCTTCTCTGTCCCCAATTACGTTCTTCTCACGGCGGTTCGTCGGTAGGAACCGGAAGAGAACAAATGCGATAGAGGATGGTGATCCTTTGAGTCGGAAACGTATATACGTAAGCACGATGCACGATTTTACTTCAAAGCTAGCTCTCTCGACCTCTCCTCGAACGATCAGTCGTTTGTTACTTAACGGATACGGAATTTGTTTGAGCATTAGGCGACACTCCGATCGAACGCGAGTCTAACTACTGCCTTTCTCTCCTCTGAAGTTAGCACGCGCGCAGATGTGCATCTGCGAGGGCTACCTCGAATCGAAGACCAGTTCACGACTGTTGTTCTCGAATAGGTGGATCGTGGATGGTAACGTTCGTTCGACAGTCGAGATAAGCGTGTCGAAGAACCGTGTTGTGTCCTGCGATCTCCATGAACTCGATCGTAATCAGGGACGTACGACAAGGGTTGTAACAATGAAAGCGGTGGCAATCGCGATCGTTTCTCTCTCTTGAACGGTACCGAACCGAGTAAGCTAAAAAACACGTAATACCAATGCCGATTCAACGATATTATTATTTGTTTTCACGCAGCCGGTTCGGCCAGCCCTCAGACTGCCCTTTTTCCCTTTCCTCCTGCTCCTCCTTTTGACTAGTGCGCTGTTTATCATGCGACGCCCATGGACTCCCTTCCCGTAGCCTCAGACGTATCGTGACTATCTCAGAAACAGCTGGAGCATACACAGCATCAGCATCGTCAAATAGATGGCCGTAGGTGCTTCGCTGCCGTTCTCGGAGGTCACTGGAACACGCAAATGCGCGAACGTTACGCGCAATGTTATTACGTCGCCTTGTCACGAGCTTTGCACACTTGTCACCTAAGCTGGCCATCGCGAGTATGACGGATCGATCGAATAACACTTGCGACCTTATGCGAAAGTTTGGGTACGTTTCAGGTCGTTTCTAATTTTTATTGCGAGGTGCTTTTGAAGAGGTGTGCTTTGCTAGGAATTTTTGTTATTTTTGGCCAGTTTAAGTGACTTTTTAAACATATAGCAGTACGTTATGGATATCGACTTATTTATTTATGTATATACATGAGTATGAGTATATACATATCAGGGGAGATGGAGGAGAAATTTTATTTGTGAGCAAGGATTGTGAAAAGCAAGGATATTCAGTTGCAATCGTGGTGAAAAGATTAGACGAGGTTGGAACTGTGAATATTAAGCATATTGGGAACACGAAACAAATACACAGAACGATGTATTTCATTTGTCAAAGAAATGGTTGTATAATAGTTTATTTATTATCATGATTCGTTTGTAGCAATTCGTCACGTTGAATTGGAAGTGACAAATATAGAAGATGGTCGTACGACAATAGTATGTGTCTATTGCGAAGTTTGAAATATAATGAATAGATATTGTGTTCGTTGATAGAAACGATAATTGGTGGATTTTGACGCCGACAGAACTTCTGTGTGTTATTGACTGCGAACACGATACGTACGAGAAGCAAATATCTGACATTCTGCTCGTATCAAAAGAGGGTAGGATCAATGGAGAGGTTTAAATCGTATTGAAGTACACAACATGATGATGTTTCAAAGTTCTAATCCCTCTCAGTCGGTTCTAAATAGCTGAGGTTCTATCGATCGAAATATATGTGAATATTCTCACTGACTATGAAATATCTTTCTCCAGATTTGTCTAACAATCACCATTCATACGAAAAAGGTGAAAAATTATCTCATTTCTTAGTTATTAGAAAATGTAATGAAGATTTCTTAACTTAGTTAAGAGTTTTGAGAATATTTAGAATAATAACTACTTTCTAAATTCGCCAATTTAAAATAAGGAACGTTATTTTAACAGTATGCCTCTTTTAATTCCAAATACTACCGCTAGAGTTCGCGACGGACTAAACGCTCTTTCGGTTCCAATATCAATATAATACTGACAGCATATTATTCTAATGTTTGTAATTCTTATTAAATATGGCGTGCATACGTAAATTAGCTAAAAGGATAATACATTATGAAAGAATAATTTTATTAACCCTAGAATTAAAAGAGTAATAACTATAAACAATTAAATTCGGATCCGAATGAAAATAAGCCTAAATTTTGTCAAAAGCAGAAATTGTAGAAACAAAATATCCAAAACAGGACATATTCACCCTTTTGATAGTTCAATCGTTGATAATAAATTTTCAAAAACAACGATAATGATAATAAGATGTTGACTTCCGTCATTCTTTGTCTGTTAAATTTTTCTCGTTCCCTATCTTCTGTTTACTCAGTCATGTACTAATGGCAACTGCAGATTATCCAAAATGCATTTCCTATAAAATTCCTGTCCCTTCCAGCCCAACTCGATAATACGATTAAACCACGTCAGAATATTGAAACGTAATAAAAGCTGCTAGCGGAGTGGAAAGCGTCGCGGGGGACAGCATTAAACGGAACGCCAATAGATTCTCCTCCTTGGACACATTGTTCCCTCGACTGTGGAGGGAAAAGTCAATTTCGCAAAAACAATTCTGTAGACCACGGGCCAGGGAGTAATACGTACGAATCAACGGACACGGTAGCAGCCTGCGAAAAGAGCCAGTGTGAACGAAATGAAATTACCGCGACTGCAGAGCCGAACGAATTCCTGTAACGTCGATGCCGGGGATTTGATGGGAAAGGGACCGAAAGGAACGAGCTAGACCGCTTTCGAATTAGACGCCAACCCGCTTTCTTGACGTATCAATTCTCCTTGCTGGTAATGGATACCTTTTTACCGTAACGGCTCCGTGATACGTTGCTCGATCGAAACGCGAATGTATCGGATTTAATAAAGTTACGAGCAGCGAAGGAAAATTGGGTAGATATGTTTAACGCTAGAACTACTAAGTAAGTCGGAATGACTGGTTCAAGAATTCTTATTTTTCCAATTGCTCAACTGGATATATACGGGTATATACTTAGCAGAGTTCTATAACTAAAGGTAGCTGTTCATGAAGTTAACGGATGTAAAGTTTGCAAATACCTTGAAGGCGAGTTTTTGAATTATATTGATTCACTTCAGAAAAATATGGCTGTCTGATCTGCAGATTTTATGGCTTTATTATTAAGAAGACTAACGTAATTAATTTCCAAACAGCCTGTTCCATCCCTATCTTAGTGTCTTCGCGTTTAGGCACATCCCACAATTCGATTCAATGGTAATTAAATTTCCCTAGTCGTCAACCAATTTTACGAATCCAAAAAATCCAGGCTTTCTCGATGTATTATATTTTCTTTCCAAATTGGTATAAATTGTTTCTTAATTGTTGAGAAGAAAAATAAATGCGATGAGTTGAGAAAAACGATTTCGTTTAGTGTTTTTTTAATGACAAAATGACAAAAATGGTGGTAATTTTAAAATCTTGAAAAATGCTTTGCCGGAAGACATAATTATCGTTATAACGCCAATTTATATATAAATAAAAAGGAATTGACAAATAATTGTCGTTAACTTTTATCGTCATGACCAATCAAGTTACGAATTCTTCATGATTTTATTTACTATAATATTGATAGAATATGTTTATTTATTTCAATAAAACTGTATTTCAAAGGATTTAATATTGTCCATTAATTTTCATTGACTCGACGCAGAATAATATTTCCGAAAGTTACAAGGAAGCTTTCTAACTTTTCATGAATTCGATCAAATTTTGAATAAATCAAATAATTATTCGTGCTACTGTTATTCCTTTTAGATGTAAAAGGGATATAAATATTTAATCTGAGTTTCACGCTACAAAGTATCGTAAATTTATAAACTTTATCAAGGACATTATACGTTTCGTTCAAGTTAACGAGATACGAAAATTTTCAAAGGTTTCAGATTACGAAAGTAAAATTACGAAAGTTATAGTTTGGATGAAAGGGTATAAAAATACTTTTCCCCTCGCGGTTAATGCAACGTGACATCTAAATTTCAATTTCATCCTCTAAAAGGCTCTTAAAGGGCTGCGAATGTAGGTGCGAAACATCAGCCAGCTAACGAGTATTTTTAAGGTAACTTCCTGAATTTTGCATGTGCCTAAGACAAACTTGCTGCATGAGGCCGTTTGGTGAGGACGTTACACTGACGTTTAATTTAGGAAATCCTCCCATAATCTTAAATTCTGCTCTTACGTTTGGCATTTTCGTGAATTCATAATGGTATCAAGAACTAGCAAGAAATTCGAAATGCGAATAGAACCATTTTAAATTTGAAAGTCGTACGTTCACAAGTAACCCAGGTGGGAAATATTGGACGAAAAGACTGCATCAGGTGTTGGTATAAAAATACTGGAGAAGTTATATTTTCATGATTAATATTTTACTTGAAATTTGACTTTTACTCTTGTATTTCGAACAAAGCAACAAGAAATAGAATAAACTTTTTCAAATAATAGAGCATTATAAATATTTTAAGTATTTCTCCGTACCTACAATGCAAAAAGAAAGAAAAGCTGTTAAATAAATGTAATTTTACGTATATACATGGTAAAAGTTTCTCGAAAGATAGCCAATAAAAATTATTAAACGATCCCGATTTCAAAAAAAAAGAATATAACTATAACAAAATCTGAAACACTTATTGACAAAAATTAAAAAACGAAAGAATCATTTACGAATTTCTGTATATTTCTTACCTTTTAAGATTCATGTTAAAATTAAAAATAGGATAATATTAAATATTTTGCACAAAATGCGTTTCTAACTTTAATGTATCGATCTCGGAAGGTAAAAAATATCCAATATTCAATTCGCAAATCGTTATCTTCTTTCATAACTGTTGCCAATATCCGCATCCCTACCTTGTCATTTTAAATACGAATATCACTTCAAATACCTATTTTCTATGTGAAAACATTTATTCTCGAAACTTCAACCCATATTACAAAAAGAATATAATTAAATACGAACAGAAATAAGTATCCTCTGAAAGTCAATTTGGCCGACATATCCGGGTTCGTACTCCGCGAAAATATTTAGCTCTGAGAAGAGAAAATTTCGCTTGTTTACGAAGCTCGATAATGGAATATTCCCGATCGCGTGGTGGAAAATTTTCAAGGGTAGCCTGATGAAATTGTCTGGGGGTAATATATAAAAATACGATATACGGCATGCGGAAGCAGCTCGCAAGATTGCTCTATGGGTTTCCGGTAAGAGCTTTTCAGCGGGATTCAAGTGACCGTGCGTTTCGAGAAGTGCACCACGAGGCTTAAGCTGGCAGGGAAATCCGGGAGAGTTCTTGATATAAAAACTCTCCAGACAACTTCATGAGCCGGCATTCTAAAGTTTGTGACACGAGTCCTCGAAAGTTTTACAGAAACGATTTACTTGGGGAATATGGGGTTATAAGGCTAAAGGGTTGCGCTGCGATCGTGCACGTTAGCCCTATCCCACGCGTGTATCGTGTGCAGGCGAGAGCATCCCCGTGTCTTTGAGGCGGTGGAAATTTCGCGAGATGCGATAGTTAAGAAAAAGGGTGAGTTTCGGTATGGAGGACATAACTTTGCAAATTACACAGGATTAAAGCCGGAATGAGATTCTCAGAATGAACCGGGGTTACGCCAGAGCACATCGCTGCACCGAAAGCCCGTTGTCTTATTTCGTATTCACTTTGCGCTCTTCCTTTTGGATAACTTCCCCGCCGTTTTGTTTGAACGAGCAGCGAATATCGACGGTGATTCGGGCTTAATAAAATCTCGTTGCTCCAGCAGTCTTTTTCTCGTTTACTGCACGGCTGGCTCTAACTGGAATTTTATACGATA